TTGGGAATTAAACTGGATTGGTTCTTATTCACAAGCATAGACATTAAGGGTTTCAGTTTGTTAGCAATCAGTTTGGCAATCACTTTGTAGCCAACATTGCATAAACTAATTGGCCTAAACTGACTCATCGAGGAGGGGTAATCAATTTTAGGAATCAGAGTGAGGAGGGTCTCGTTAATGCATTGAATTCTATCTGGGTTCCTAAAACAGGAGGAAATGAAAGCACAGAAATCATTGCCCACAACATTCCAACATTTCTGGTAGAAGATGGCATGAAAGCCATCTTTGCCAGGAGCTTTGAGTCCATTCATCTCCATAACCACCCCTCTGATCTCCTCAATCCTAGGTATGGTGCACAGGCTGGTCACAAAACAAGCATCCAACTCTGGAAAGCAAGCAGGTAATCTACATCCAGGGGCAGAAATATTCTTAGTAAAGAGGTTGAGAAAATAATCCATGGCCATGAAGAGCAAAGTGTCAGCATCAGCAACCCATTGACCTTGTTCATCACGCAGGCAAGTAATCTTGTTCCTCTTTCTTCTACTGAGAGTGCTGGTATGGAAATAGTGAGTGTTCAGATCACCAAAAACAACCCAATTGGATCTGGATTTCTGGATCCAAATAATCTCTTCTTGCCATAGCGTTTCCTCTAGCTCCTCCCTGGTTTGTCTTTCCTTTTCCTTGGATCTAACAGAGGCACTTCTCTCGTTGATCATTTCAAGGGACTTCAGTTCAGACAACAATTTTCTCTTCCTTTGGAATATGTTACCATAGACTTCCTTGTTCCATTTTTGTAGATCTTCCGAGAGATGATGAAGAGAATGCAGAAATTCTCCTCCAATGTTCCAGGAAGAGGACAAAAATGAAGGGAAATCCTCATGAGCAAGCCAGGAGGCCAGGAACTGGAACCTTCTTTTTAGTTTCTGGTGAACAGTTTGGTTAGAGGTGGAGGTCATGATTGGCCTGTGGTCAGACTTGATTTTAGGTAGATGGAAAGTAGTGGAGGAAGGGAACCTGTGATGCCAATCAAGGTTACACAGGCTGCGATCCAATCTTTCCTTGATACCCAAGTTTCTTGTGAACCAAGTAAACCTCGGTCCAGAGAAGCCAAGGTCAAGCAAACCACAATCCTCAATACAGTCACAGTTAGCACGGACCTTAGCGGAGCTGAAAGCAGCTCCTCCTTGTTTTTCACTGGCTCTGGTAATGGAGTTGAAGTCTCCAGTCAGAATCCAAGGCATGGTGGTGTCCTTTTCAATGGTTCTGATAGACTCCCAAAGCTCCACTCGGTCGTGTTCATTCAGACTACCATACACTACAGTCATTTGGAACCTCTCCTTCTGGCCAAAATAGCATCTGAGGTTGATGAATTGCTTGTGAATATCCACTCCTTCGAGCTTTATGTCAAACTCATTCCAAAGAACCCAAATACCACCACTAAAACCAGTTTCCTCAGAGACAACAAAAGAATCAAAACCTAGCTTCTTAATAACCTTAGCTGCTTCCTCCCCGCTGATTCTGTGTTCCAGGATGCACATCACATCAGGCTTGTAGTTAGCCTTAAAAAGCATGAAAGATGGAAGAAACTTGTGGTGCTTTGCACCTCTGCAATTTCATGAGAAGATTTTAACCATGGCAAAGGTTGGTTAAGTGCTTCCCTGCAGGACTCAGAGTCCAAAGATCAACAAAGATCGACGGCCATGGCCGTCTCACTACTCCCTTTAGCCTCATCTGTGAAGATGGCCTTAGGGTGCTGAGCATCTTCCAGCACAGACTCGCACTCGCCTGTTTAAGGGCAAATTCAATTTTCCTTCCTTCGATGTTTCCCTTCTCTGGTGTAGCCTTTTCAGCCTTTCCTGAGATTTTACCTGAAGCTGTAGAGGATGGCGTTTTCATCTTTGGCTGGTGGCCAGAGTTGGCTTCTTTGGTTGGTCCCTTTTCCTTTCCTGGTTTAACATGCCCCGCAGGAATTTTTAGAATCATTCATGCTGGCACTCTATCCAGGTTGCTGTGGATTAGGTGTCGAGACCTTGATCTGTTTCTGTTTTGGCTCCTTTTGTGATGAGCTAGCTCTTTCTTCTTTTTTCTCTGAGGTAGTGTTCCTGCTCTTTTGTTTCACCCCTTCTGGGGAGATTTTCTGATTTTCTTCCTATTGATTTTATCCTGCTCTAAAGATTTTCCTTTGGTGTTTGCACTTTTAGGTTTCCCCTGTTCCTTCCTCTTGCTCGGGTCTTGTGTGGCTGAGCTCCTCTGTTTTCTCCCTGTGACGACAGATTTGTTAGTGTTTGCCTCTAGGGGAGATTCCTGGACTGTTTTGTTCTGTTGGCAATCCTCTTCCATGGGGGTGCCCTCTCCTATCTCCTCCTCTTCGTTCACCAACGCTTCAAATCTTGATCCTATTTTCAATTTCTCTCCCTAAGGGGCAGTGTTTGTCGATGTCTCAGCAGTAGCATTGGTCTTCTTCAGGATCCGGGGTCTTCTTGTTCTAGTTGCAAGCATCCAAGGACCATAATCTTCCAAGACCTCGGGTCTAATGGCTTGAGACAGTTCCTCCTTCTCCTTCACTCCCAAAGTTGAAACTGCTGGTGAGTTTTCTGTTCCTTTCACGGAGGGGCAGTTCTCTTCAAGGTGCCCGTAGAGACCACAGCTGAAGCAAACTGTGTGAAGTCCCTTGTATTCCACCCTGCGGACCCTTCTCTTAAGTCTGTATTTTGAGACCAGCTTTTTCTTAGATCTAGTTCCACACATATTCTGGCGAAGTTTCCCCTAAAACCATTAGCTGTGTTATAGTCGATTTTCTGAACTTTCCCCAATTTGTTTCCTATGTCTGTGAGGATCTCTTCATCGAAGTAGGCGAGAGGCAAGCGGGGTAATCTTACCCAGGCCATGATGTGGTCGATAGTGTCAAAGTTCGGATTGAAATCAAGTCTCCACGGCTCCGCCACAATGTAGTGGTCGTCGATGGTCCATGGGCCGCCGTAGAGTGCTCGATCGTGATTGGATTGGGAGTCGAAGATTGCCTGGCAGTACCCGTTCCCGATGTCGCCCACCTTGACTCCTCCAGATTTCGCCCACATCTTTTGGATGCGTCTGTGTATGAAGGCAAAAGGGAAATGCTTTCCCAGAACTCGGAACGTGATGGCTCTATTCCATCTGCTCTGTATTCTCACGTTTGTTCTCTTCTTTACTCTAATAGTTGGGCACTCTGGATCATCCTCTCCATTTTCATCATTTGATTCATCAGACATTAGTTCGTTACTTTCGAAATTGCATGCGGAGGTAAGGTTACCTAGCACCGAGTCTTTATACGAGCCAGTCCTTCTGCCCGTAGGAGGACTCCTCGACCTGGGATGGCTTCTATCACTTCCAATTTTGTCTTTCTTCTCTTCTGATTGTACGTCTGTTTCCTTTCCGGCGTGAACCTCTATGCCCATCTTAGGGATGGCAAAAATATCCGTAACCGTGGATATCCACCCGAATCCGTCCTAATCGGGTAGGGTAAAACCCGAACCCGAAAGACATTTAGTGGGTACGGGTAAAACCCGAACCCGAATATTGTGGGTAATGGGTGGGCATGGATTTCTCACTATCCAACCCGAACCCGCCCGATTATACAAATGCATATGTATTTTCTCTAGATATAATCATTTTTTTATACTAACATATTTTATATTTACCATATAAGTATAATATTTTCATGAAATTGTGTTGTTTTAATTAATTTTCTTCATTCTAGTGAATTATTGGCGTACTTTTTCTCTTACGAAATGTGAGAATTCGTGTGAATGTTAACATATTGGTTGAAGTTGTGAAGAAAAATGATTACCCATGGATAACCGTGGATACCCGAAACCCGAACGGGTATGGGCATGGTTTTGATATTCTACCCGTTTCACATGTGGGTATGGGTATGGGTAAAACCCGAACTACTTTGGGTAGGGTAAGGGATATGCACTATCCGCCCCCGACCCGACCCATTGCCATCCCTAGCCCATCTCCTCATCTTCTGAGATCTGACCATCTTTTGCAGCAGCAGTCACCACTGCAAAGTCCATGGATCCTTCCCCGGAGAACTCATTTGAGGAGGTCGCCTTCGCCTTCTTGCTGGCCTGGCCTGGTGTGGTTGCCGGGGAGATATCCGGCGGTTTGGGGGCCGGGACGGTGGCCTCCCCGAAGGGATCCATTTTCAGTCTCACAACGGACTGAGTAACGGCTATGAAATTCAAAAGAATAGAAGAAGAGGGAGGAGAGAGGGGAGAGCTTTCCTCTCTCAACTTTCTCTGTCTTCGAGATCCACCCCTTGTTCAATGATCTTTTTAAATCAAAAGCTACATCATTATGATCCCCCCTTCAACTAGCTTAGGATAGGGTCAGTACCATTGGTTACTGACCTATGAGTAACTAAATCTGGACCTTTACATCTAAGTGAGTCCAGAAAATTCAGATCTAAGGGTTGTCAATTAAAGACATTTTATTTTCCTTAGTTTTCTTAATCGGCTCTTATCTTTTTCGTTCTAACTCGAATTTCAATTGTTTTTTTGCACAGATGGAACGAGTTCGTTGTGCTCTACAAAATGAGATCAATTTTCAATATATTTCGAGAAACTTTTTTTTTACCAACTACATATCATATGGTAATTTCTTCGTTTTAAGTCATTTTTGAAAACGTTTGCTCAGAAGGAATGAGTTCATCACGATCTATTTGATCTATAAATTTCCGGGTGAAAAAAATACTGGATAAAGAATTACAATATTTTACCACTATGGTATGTGGGTGGTAACTTGTGATAAACAATGATGAAAGTCGTAAATGACAGTTAGTATATTCCTACTATCATGTATTCAACCTTCTTACCATATTGATATGTTCATACCATCATGGTACGCGTTCTTACCATATGGTATTAAATAGGAGCATACCATATAGTAAGGACTGGTAAAAAATTATGATATATTTTTTTGTACTAAAAATATATAAAAGTGGATATCATTTTAAAGAGCACATTTAATCTAATTTATCTGTGCAAAAAAAATTAAATTTCGACTTAAAACGAGAGAGAATCGCCCGTTAAATATTGAAGGGGAAAATATAAAAGACTTTCCAGAAAAAAGAAAATATTTTTGTAGTTACTCATGATTACTGAACTTTTTACCTTCAACTTCCTTGTACCAAAAAAACCCACATTCGTTGAACCAAAAACTCTCAATTTCTGTATTGTGAGGCTACACTAATCATGTCATTAGTGACAAATCGTCCAATTTGAAGACTATATACAACTCTCAAACCATATCACTCTACATTTCTCGCGTGAGAGGCAAGCCAAAAAACTGCCTTCATGTAGGATCATGTCAAACTTCCATCGTCAACCACATTAGCTGCCTAAACCATCTTTATCTCCTCTGTTTTCCCTTCTCGTGCCACTCACAAATGGCTTACATCCTCAGCTCCTCATCAAAATGGTCCAAATGCCCTGTTGTTTCCTCCCCTTTGAATGTCTGCAAAAGTAGGTGATCGAAGAGGGGAACCCATCTGGTCTCTGTAACTCGTGCCTTCCAGCTCAATCTCTGCATCGCCGGAACCAGAGGACGACGGCGGCGGCGGCGGCCTCGGAGGATGGGAAGTCGAACCCAGAGGAGAGCCATTGGTGTTGTGGCGATGGTGGCCGTTGGTGGGTGAGTGGTGGTGAGAGTAAGAATCAGGAGAAAACGCCATCATGTTGGAGTTTCTGTTTGTTGCGGAAAATGGGGATGATGGCGGGATGGAGCGGCTGGAAGGGGAAACGTTATCTCGCTTCTTCTTGTTGTTCTGTTTCACCCCTGCGTGCCAATTTTTCAGCATGTTTGCCGTTTGCTGCTCCACCATTACTCCCTTGTACCGCGAACCCATCTAAAATTTGTGTTTGGAAAAGAGAAGAAGAAGAAGAAAGAAGATTAAGAAGGGAGAGAGATGGATGATTTAATTGATCAGTTGGGAGAAAGCTTCAAGAAATCGAAATCCTGAGTAAGTAGGTGTGTGTGTGTGTGTATGCACTACTTACCTGGGTTACTAAAGCGTAGAGAGGTAGTGTTATGTAGCTGCACAAAATTTGTACCATCACCCTGAAGAAAGAAGTAAAATTGGGTTAGAAATTTAATTATCGTTGGAAACTCCGATGAAATTTTGGACGAAATTTAGTTAGCATTTTGTTACAAAGTTTTGAAGTCGCGTTATCATTTTGAGAGAAAAAATTAAGGTGGTGTACTTACGCAAATGCCATTCTGGTGACTATGATCTCCAAGCTTTCGTGGTAGCAGGAGTGTATCCCAAATTGCCACTGATCGATCATGAAAAAAATGAATTGAGCAGGAAGGATTTGACTAATCCACATTAATGATAATCAGCATCAAATTCAAGAGAAAGAATCGATTAATCGCATATACCGTGACCCAGACGAAGAAAGCTAGCTCAAATGCATTCTGCAAATACGTAGAAGACATCCCAAGAAAGACCAGAACTACATTATCATCAATATTTAGAGATTGATTAAGGATTTTAATTAACCAAGTGAAGAACTGATTGATTGATGAATAATTACCACGAAGAGAGTGTAATGCAGAAGAGTCAACACGAACTTGGGGTGGCTGAACCAGAAGTAGTCGTCGTTGGGCTGGACTACAGGGGCTCCTTTGATCACAGTGTTGTTCTCGCTCAGTTGCAGAGCCATTTTCGCCACCACCACTTCCAGCTTTGTCCCAACAACCAACACGATCTGCAGATATTTTCAAGTTCATGTTCAATGGTGGTTGATCATGGCTAGATTTTGAGAATGGTAATTACGAATTTAGTGATAACGACTTACAATCAATGGCAGAAAGGATACCCACAAGTAGACATGCCAACCTGTTGATTCATTGATGGATGCATCAGTTGTTGAAAGATGGCATGGGAGAAATTTTGGAATTGGGACTACTTTAGGACAATTAAGTGGAAATAAATGCAATACTTACCACGGATGTCACCCAACATCAGGATCACAACTAGCAACCACATTATGGGACTGCAACAGAGCATTTCAAAAAAGCTATTAGCAACTCTGTTATTTCGATCCCAAATTTTCAGTTGCAGTACTAATAGTTGAGAACTGCGAAGAAATCGTTGCAACTGGAATACTTATTCATTATGCGAAAAAGGCGGAAAAAATCAATACCTGATTCCTACTACAGATTTAAAATCCTCGTCTAGTGATTTCTCTATGTACTTTTGAAAATTGAAGGAGTTATTATTCGACAAGTGAGCCTGCAAAAGAAAAATAAAACTTTTTCAGACACTTTTTAAATTACAAGCAATTAACAACCTATATCAGTAAACCTTGATGCATATGCAACTAACAGGGAAAAAAAAAAGAAAGAATAAAAATTCCTAGACTACAAATGGTCAAATACATAGCACAAATTAGTGGAACAAATTCTGACTTGATAGTTTCTTTTGACAAGGACATAATTCAGTTTTAACAAATCAAACTTAATAAACTAATGACATAAATTATCATGGAAAAATGCCAATTGATTAATAGAAAAAAAGGGGTTTGAATTTTCTAGTCAGTAATTACTACTTAGTAGTAGGACCGGGAATGCATGCATGTGACTGAGATTGAGGTTCGGAAGGATGAATATAAAGCTCACAGCGATGAAACCGTGGCGCAGAGTGAGATAGTCAACTTTTGCTACCGAGTTGAAGAATTGACGGAAGAAGCATTTCTGCATAGCACCAACAAGCAAGAAATCAACCACCCAAGCCGCCGGCCATTCCATTCTCATTAATGACAATCGACGACGAAAAGTATATAAGGGAAAACAATAGTTAAAGGCGGCCGGAGAGAGGAGGGAGCCCACGTACAATCCAGAGGTTGACGGTGTTGCTGGTGCAACAATTCATGTGCCGCCGCCCGAACGTCGTCTGCCTTGTGTACCTGAATCGGTTTGGATCTGCGCATGCATGTCATTATCAACCTAATTAATTAATTAATCAATTCGTAGTTGATAATGTTAATTAAGATGCCGGGAATTTAATCAAGGAATAAAATGTTATTAATTAAGTTCTGATTAGACCTGCAAATAATCAATGATGTTAATTGTTGTCGGTTAACTCACCATTGGCTGCTTCGTATTCTACGGTCTGTGTCTCTTTCTCCCAGGCCCTCCACCGCCTCATCTTTCGTCCATTAATTATTGTTCATAATTAAGACAAAAATAACAGCAAATAATTAATACTAGGATGGCCAAAGATAACACCTAAACTACAAACCAACATCCAAATTCCAATCAACTTAGTTGGAGCAATTAATGTATGATTTTGTAATAATTTGTTCCAAACTTTTTGGATTTTAATTCTATTATGCAAACTTGTTCTAATCTAATGTATACTCTTTTCATGTTGTAACTTGCTTCAAAAAGTCGTTAAGTTAGGCCCCGATCAATTAACTTGGTATGTATGAATGCAAAAATGTTCCAATTTTTCCTCTTTTCTCTCTTAATCATTGACAAATTTTTGTCGCGTACCAGCTATTGTGACGATATCGATAGCTTATAGTACCATTAGCTCCATGATACAACCTTCAAATAATTATTCATAATCTCCTACTATATTTTTGTAACATTCGGGTGAAATAAAACCGAAATCGATTATATTTTTATTTTTGTAAATCAGATCGATCCTCCTACCTAACTGGCTGAATCCGACCCTTGCCCACTAAAACTTTAAACATGGACAAAAGGAAAACCCAAAGGCGCTTTCCGGATAGATTAGAATAAAAGGAAATTATTTATGGGGTCCATATGGGAGATAAAGAGGAAATATGGGGACCCTAAAGGACATTTAATAATTGGCTTCATACAGGGAGCAAAATGCCAAAAAAAAAAGTTACCCCGTCCAGCGAGTCAAAGTCAAACAAAACGGGGGCTGTGCAAAACGGTGAATCCCGCAATCAATCTATTATTTTTAAACGGTCAACCCCGTTTCTCGCAAGTCCGTCAGGAGACGGCAGCCGAGTAGCTAGCCGACACAACACCGAACGTTTCTGTTTCATAAACGGACAACCTGAGCCGGACTTCCATTTGTAACATTCACAGTACTACTACTGTAATGTGAAGTGATCCAACGGACCGTGTTATCAAAATTAATTAGTTACTAATATTTTTTTCCGTAGAGGAAAATCTATAAAAAAACGGTAAAGTGAAATTTATAGATGCCCGACAAATACTAGAAAACGTTAAAATGAGCTTGCAATTTTACTCGCGACCTTAAAAAGAGCACGACATAAATGACAATTACCAAAAAAAAAAAACGAATTAAAAAACTGTACAAATTTCATCTATAGAAGCTTGTGATAGTGAATTACTATGAACTTAGTCTTATTAAATAAAATGCTGGAAGAAAGAAATTGGTGGATTATAAATTAGCCTAGTTGGCAAAAACTACTTGCATAATTTAAATTATAATTAATGACTGAAACTCGATCCACGGCCAGTTGTGCTGAAAAGAAGCCGGCAGGGGCGGTGCACATTTTTACATTTTACGAGGAATTAAGAAAAGAACAGTAATCAATTAGTGGACTAGAGTCTAAAGTCTAAACAGAAGCAGCCTGAGGGAAATTTTACATTAAACTAATAACGTCATTAACTAAGTAATCAGAATAGAGAAATTAAATTAAATTAGTTTAGTTACCTTGGCCCTACCCAAGGCCATGGTGAGGACGCTGTAGACGATCTGCATCGCGGCCATTACGAAGAGGAAGATGCTCAGCTGGTTCAATCCGGCCTCTGTTATTAGAGCTGTCTTCCCCTGCAATCATCGATTAACACCCAATCTAAATCAGAAAGAAAAAAAATGTAGATTGATTCGATGAAAGAAATTACAATTAGATTGTAAAAAATTGTTTAATTTACCTTGCTGCCACAGTAATCCTCGCCCTTGTCGTCGTCGTCGTCAATTTCGACGAGACGCTTCGTCCGGCAGGGGAGCATCGTGGCGGCGGCGCCGTTGGGGATGCAGATTTTGGCGATGTACTTCTGGGTTACCGTCAGTATCAACGACATGAACCCCAACACTATCATCACTGTATTCCAATCGACCAATTAGCCCCCAATTTAACCGACCGATTTCTGTGGGGGGGGGGAAAAGGAAGGAAGGGAAGGAAGGAACTGACCGGACTTGAGCTTGTCGACGGCCTCCACCAGCGAGTTCTTCTTGTGCTTCTGCAGCCACTGCAAAAAACCCAAAACGACGGCGAATTGGAAGAAGGGGGGAAAATGAAGGTCGAAAAATCGACAGATTCGTGGATGGGATTTGGTTGATTTACGTGAGAGATGAGGTGGATGAGGTGCTCTATGAGCAAGGAAACCGCGATGAAGACGAAACAAACCATGGCGAGAGCCCATGTCGGAGTGTTTTCCAGTGACCGGTACTCTCCTTCCCCGCCGCCGGCCATTGATACCAACTACCCAGTATGCAATCGCCGGCAAAATGGGATCCGTCTGGATTGATGAGTTTTGCCGGAAGGTGTATACAATGTTGAGATAGAGAAGGAAGAACGCTTTGTTCTATATTTTTATATCCAACAAAGTCTATCATCACGCGCTAGCCTTGCGATCTAGTGAAGGTGATAATTGTTGGGCTAATTACCAAAGACTCCCTAGCCTTCATTTAAGTGGAGTTTCGTCTTTGATTTGAAACGTTCCTTCTTGGAAGAAATTTGACTTCTGCGTCCCGGACTGGGCCAAAAAGAGTATAAAATTGCAGCCAAGTTCTCTGCCTTGATATCAAGATGCATACGCCATTGTCTCAGTGCGACCTTTTTTTTATGAGTCAAGTAGTATTGACGAAGGAATTAGCCTCTCGATAGATGTGAATGGTGCGAACGGTCCTAGTCAATGTTGTAGTTTGTGAGAAGTTGTAAAACAAGGCCGGTGTGTTGATGAGCAGGCATGCCGTCACGGGCTAGTAGTAGCGATGTCGTCTTTGTAGAATATGGACACCTAATTGCGACAGGCAAACTGTGATGCTAGTTGGAGACCTTTAATGACTCCCTCCCTAACCTGTCTACTTTGTCGGCTCGATGAACCATCAAAATTACGGATAGTAATGTAATTAATGAAGAGAAAATCCAATTGAACGAAAATCCGATAAAATAAGTATCCGTAAATTCACGAACATAATTGTAAATCATCCCTCCGTAAGAATTGAAGAATCAGTGATAATGCTGGGTCTGCTGTGGTTGTTGTGGGGATTGGTTTGGCCAACGGAATCAACTAATTTGATTTGGTTGTTAATAGGAAACAACGACATTTGATTTGAGATGTAGTGCTCCTATTTCATCCTTTGAACGTTTGGCATCCGCCCGGCCCGACTCTGAGGCTGGAGCTGGGCTGGTAGTGTTGAACTCTTCTCTTCGTCTTCTTTGTACATGAAACCAACCAACATATTTTTGACCGTGTCAAACATTGTCAATGTCAAAGCAAACTTAGCTACGTAGTGTTTGCATTTCTCGTCTATTGTTTCCCCCTTTTTTTTTCAATTGCGCTCTAAATTTGTCCGTCGGATCTTTTGAGGACTGGATTTCTGTTTTTAGTATATGATGGCTCCATCAATTAATTAATTGGTCTGTTCTGTTCTATTCTCTGATATTTGTCATTTTGATTAATAGTTTTACACCGACTCCTTCAGTATCCGAGCCCAAGGGAACAAGTTAAAGCCGGACCGTTGGAATGGCTTTTGGGCTGGGCCCTCTTTTCATGGGTCCAAAATTTTGTCCCTCCCAATCCGCCATAAAATGATCAGCATCGGCCCTCTCTAATTTGGGCTTTCTTTAGTATTCCAGTATTTTCTGCTCTTGGTTGTATAGGTCGATGGTTCTGTTGCCCTTTTGGTTGATCCATTGTTGGGACTTGGGATCTATTCAGTTGACTCTCAAAATAAATAGTTTTTGCTTGAAGTTTAATCAAATCACCATGGCAAAGTTTTAAAAGTATGCATAAGTTACGCATCAATCTAATTAGGGGTGGCTATTTGGTCCGACTTTTTTGGTTTTACTCGAAATCGAACCGAGACTAGATAGTAAATAATCTAATTACATTTTTCGGGTTTAGATTTGAGGTAAAAAATCATTCGAGACCGGACCGAAAACCAGATAAAGACCGGATAAGAGAGCCCAACACCCAAAATTTAACCAACTCATCACCCTTTCAGCCCTCATGCCACTCAAACCCCCACAAACTGAATCTAAAATCAAAATCGAATTGGGACCGGAACGGATCAAGACTAGACTGTATCCAATCCAATCTTTGATCCTTATATTTCCGAAAATAATGGACTGGGACCGGATCAATTCGGACCAATTTAACCAGACCGGACCGTGTAGCCACCCCTAAATCTAATACCACAAGAGATTACAATCCGAGAATAAACATGAATGAAAGAGGACATATTGATCCAAATCATGGCGACAAAGGGATACTCCTAAAACAAATGATCAATAGTTTGTTCACTCTTGACGTATATTGGGCATTTGCTCGTCATGAGGCATGAGTCAAGATTTTCATGTTAGTTTGTCCTGGCCGAGGATTCACTTGTGAATAAAGAGCGATACAAAAGGTTATAATTTTGACGTAATGCTCGAGCATCAGACCAATTAGGATGGAAAATCCGAGACTCCTCCATGTTGGCTTATAATCCTTAGTTGGTAGCAACATTCAAACTGTGCAATGAGAAGATGGAATAGGACACCACACCATTCTGTTAGGTCCTGCAGCCTGCCACAATGAATATTGTGCTGAAAATAAGGTAAGGAGTAAGGACACATCCCATCACTCGCTTTTTACTCTTACTCACACATGTTCCCACGAAAAAGTCACTCATGTGACCAACAGGGACAATCGTTTTTCAAAAAAAAGCCCAAGAAATCGAACTACCCTACAAACCCTTTCTACCATCCAAGCTACAAAATCGAAACTTAGCAGCAGACAAAGTCAAGTAGCTCCCTGGCTCATGGCCAAAATTGAAGTGTGAATGAAATACGTACGATATTAGATGATATAGGTCAGCTTGTAAAGTTAGATAGGATGATTGTAACTAGAATAAGTATAGGTAGTAAAAGGTAATATGGTCAAGGTTGTTATGACCATAACGGTCTTTCCCTCCTTGATTCTTACCTGTAGTCTGTACTATAAATCCAGCTCTACATCCTGGATTCATTACGTTTTTCCTTCGATTGATTCAGTAATAAGAGAAGCAATTCAGTAAACTAGCATGGTATCAGAGCTCCTTTGAGCCGTTTTTCGTCTCTCGTTCTCGCTTCCGCATCTCTCTCTTTTCTCTCTTCGAGTTCTTGATATCGTCCTCCTATGGCGATTCACGATTCCTCTTCTTCCGGCGACGAAGCCGCAAATCCTCACACTGGAGGTCTCCAGAGCAATTCTGGTGTGATTCTGTACAAAGGCGTCCCAATTTCCGATCCAGCTTCGCCGTTCTTCATTCATCCATCGGAGAATTGGGGGCAATGCCTTGTTTCCCAGCTGCTTACCGAGAACAATTTCTCCAGCTGGGAACGATCGATGGTTCTTGTTATCGATGGCAAGAACAAATTAGGGTTCTGAATGGCAAAATCCCGCAGCCAACTGACGATTCTCCTCTCTTCGAGTCTTGGAATCGGAACAACAAACTGCTCCTCAGCTAGATTCAGAGATCTGTCAATCCTACCATCGCCGAGAGCATTCTGTATGTCACCACCGCCATTGGTGCTTGGTCTGAGCTGCGCGAACAGTTCTCGCAAGGCAATTCTTTCCGCATTGCTGATCTTCAAGAGGCCATCTTCAACCTCAAGCAAGGTACTATGAGTGTTTCTCAGTACTATTCTAAGCAGCGAGCATTAAGGGATCAGTTAGCGAATTACAGATTCATTCCTGATTGTGATTGTGGAATCACTTGCCATTGTGTGCTAGCCTCTCTACGCAAAGATTACATGAATGACAAAGTAATTAGGTTCTTGCGTATTCTGAATAATAGCTTTAATGGTCCAAGATCCACAGTTATGCTCTTAGATCCCTTACCTCCTATCAACAAGGTGTTTGCTATGATGGTGCAACACGAAAGGGAGAATGGTTTACTACCTAAACCCCAGCCTAACCCCAATCATGCTTCAGAAAGCATGGCCTTCTTTACTAAGGCTTCAGGGCAAAGTTTGGGTGTTCAAGGTGCTGGTCAAGGGTTCAAGAAACAGGGCAAGAAACCAGTGTGCACTTTCTGTGGGTATACAAGTCACACTGAAGACATTTGCTACAAGAAGAATGGATATCCTCCTGGTTATCAATCCAAGAAGAAACAGCCAACTAGGCAAGCTAATAGTGTTTCTGCTGATCCTGGGTCATCATCTGCTGGAACAGTGGTCATCAATCAGTCTGATTGGCAGACTTTCCAACAGCAATATCAGAAGATGCTCAGCATTATGAATCCCTATTCACAGCAGCAAACCTATCAGCATCCGGTTCCACAGCCTACTGCTCCTACACAGCAGAACTTCCCATCACCAGGAGCTTTTCATGAGGCATACACTGCAACAATCCTCCACACTACTCAGCTTCCCATGAGAGTGAAGGATCAGGGCATCACAATACAGTCAGCAGAGCCAATTCTGTTGCTTCCCATGCTTTTACCACCACTGAACCTTCAGGTACCATTCATTATGCACTTAATGTTACTTGCTATCTCCAGGACAAGTGGATTCTGGACACAGGAGCCACAGATCATATTATTTGCTCCTTAAAACATTTTCATCAGTATAAACCTGTCAAGAACATATTTGTGCATATGCCTAATGGTAGCAAGGTTGCTGTAGAAGCCATAGGAACTGTGAAATACTCAGAACACTTAATTCTCTATGATGTTCTGTATGTTCCAACTTTTAGCTTCAACATGGTTTCTGTTAGCAGATTAGTCAGGAGTTCTACCATTTGCTTATGGTTCCATTACTCTCTCTGCTTCATACAGGCCTACCCCAGTTTGACAATGATTGGAACAGCTAGTCTCCTTGATGGCTTATACATTCTACACCATCCCTCTCAAACTGCCCAGCTTCAACATGGTCTAAACCTCCACATAAAACAAGATGCTTTACCATCTGTAGCTTTTTCCAGTACTAAACCATCTATTGATGTATGGCACTATAGACTTGGTCATGTACCTACTTCTAAGACTAAGTTTTTCCACTGTCTTGATAGTACTATCTCTACTTCTTCAGACTTTCATTGTATGGTTTGTCCAACAGCAAAACAAAAGAGACTTCCCTTTCCTTCTAACACTAGCCAAACAACAGCTCCTTTTGACATAATTCATGTTGATATTTGGGGAAATGCACCTGTCAAAACCTTACAGGGTCATGCTTATTTCCTAACTATAGTAGATGACTTCAGTAGACATACATGGATTTTTACAATGAAGTCGAAGTCTGAAGCCAGACCTATTATCATGTCTTTCTTTTCCTTTGTTGAAACTCAGTTCCATAGCAGAATTAAGACCATTAGAACTGACAATGGTCTTGAGTTCCAAATTCCAGATTTTTACAGTTTAAAAGGAACCATTCACCAAACCACTTGTGTATACACATCACAGCAAAATGGTATTGTTGAACGAAAACATCAACATATACTTGCTGTCACTAAAGCCTTGTTGTTTCAAGCTTCCTTGCCAAAACAATTCTGGAATTTTGCAGCTATGCATGCTGTTCACTTAATTAACAGAACACCTTCCTCTCTTCTAAACAATCTCACTCCCTTTGAGAAGTTATATGGTTCCCCACCTACTTTAGACCATTTAAGGGTCTTTGGCTGTCTCACTCATGCTGCAACCATCCAAGCCACCCGCACAAAACTGGACCCTAGGTCTAACCCATGTGTCTTTCTGGGTCACCCTCATGGTACCAAAGGGTTCAGGTTATATAATCTTCTTACACATAATCTCTTTATCTCCAGAGATGTTTCTTTTTATGAAACAATCTTTCCATTTAGCACATCTAACCAGAACATTCAACCTTCTGTCATTCTTCCAGTTTTTTCATCTGTCTCTCCAGACCTGGAATTTAGCAAAGCTCACACAGCTTGCTCTCATCCACCATCTATTCCACCAATCCCAGTATCTCCTGATACTTGTTCTGATCCAGATGCATCTTCTACATCTTCTCCTCCTCAACCAACAATCCCTGTTGCTCCTTCACTATAAGGAGATCAACTAGGCAAATTGTTCCACCAGCACGACTCAAAGATTACAAATGTAATCTGGTTAGTCAATCTACTTTACTCACTTCAGCCAAATATCCTATCCATAACCAGTTAACATACAGCTCTTTGAGCCCCTCTCACAGACATTTTGCCTTAGAAATTACTCAAGTCAGAGAACACAAACATACAAAGAAGCAGCAAAGTCTAAAGAATGGCTCAATGCTGTTAATTCTGAGTTTTCTTCTCTTGCCAAAACAAAACTTGGGTTTTAGTTGATCCTCCACCCAATGTTCCCATTATTTGCAATAAATGGGTGTTCAGATTAAAATTCAAACAAGATGGTTCCATTGACAAGTACAAGGCCAGGTTAGTAGCCAAAGGCTACACTCAGACACCTGGAATTGACTATTTGGATACTTTTTCTCCAGTAGTTAAAATGACAACAGTTCGCATTTTGTTAGCTTTAGCTTCCATATATAACTGGCATCTTGAACAACTTGATGTAAACACAGCTTTTCTTCATGGAGATCTTAATGAAGATGTCTATATGAAACTACCACCAGGTTTACCAGTCTCACCTTCTGATAAAAACAAAGTCTGCAAGCTTACCAAATCTTTATATGGTCTTAAGCAGGCTAGTCGTCAATGGTTTGCTAAACTTGCCACGACTTTAGAATCCCTTGGTTACCAGAAGTCACACAGTGATTATTCTCTGTTCACAAAGTATTCTGGCACATCTTTTACAGCTCTATTAGTTTACGTTGATGATATCATTCTAACTGGCAATGATATGACTGAAATTAATCATGTTAAACAGCAACTTGATGTTGCATTTACAATCAAAGACCTTGGCAAGCTCAAATACTTCCTTGGTATGGAAGTTTCAAGGTCTGAAAGTGGCTTACATTTATGCCAACGAAAATACACTCTTGATCTCCTATCTGATACAGGATTTCTAGCTGCTAAACCTACTACCACTCCCTCTATTCCAGCTACCCATCTTTCTGCATCTGAGGGAACCTTATTAGATGAATCTGCTCATAGCAGTTACAGGCAATTGATAGATCGATTACAGTACTTATGCAATACTCGACCAGACATATGTTACACTGTGAATCAGCTTAGCCAGTTTGTGGATGCACCTACCACAGTCCATGAACAGGCCACACACAGACTGCTCAGATACTTGAAAACAACCCCAACTCGTGGATTATTTTTCCCCAGCAATTCTTCCACTCGTCTTTCAGCATTTTCTGATTCTGACTGGGCTGGTTGCCCTGACACACGACGCTCAGTAACTGGTTTTTGTGTCTTCTTAGGTAATTCACTGGTCAGCTGGCGTTCTAAAAAGCAGCAAACCATCTCAAGATCTTCAACAGAAGCTGAATACAGAGCCTTGGCAGATACAGCTCAGGAATTGCAGTGGATGACGACATTGTTCAAGCAGCTTCCAGTCCAACCTCAGCAGCCTTACACCATTTATTGTGACAGTCAATCTGCAGTCAAGATGACAGAGAATCCCATACAACACGAAAGAACCAAACACATTGAAGTCGATTGCCACTTCACTCGTAATCAGGTTCTTGCCAAAGGTCCAGCATATTTCAACCACTTTGCAGCTGGCAGACCCTTTCACGAAAGCACTTCCAGTCCACACCTTTGTTGACCTCATTTCCAAGCTAAACCTGAAGTCAATCCACGTTTAGCTTGCCGGGGGGGGGGGGGTATTAGATGATATAGGTCACTTGTAAAGTTAGATAGGTTAATTGTAACTAGAATAAGTATAGGTAGTAAAAGGTAATATGGTCAAGGTTGTTATGACCATAACGGTCTTTCCCTCCTTGACTCTTACCTGTAGTCTGTACTATAAATCCAGCTCTACATCCTGGATTCATTACGTTTTTTCCTTCGATTGATTCAGTAATAAGAGAAGCAATTCAGTAAACTAGCATACGACAAGACTTCCACTTCATTCCCCATTATATAGCGTGAGCGACAGTCATACCTCTTCTCCCAACGTGTTGTTGCATTCACATTCTATCTCGTCACAATTGACTTGGTTCAAGTCCCTAACCACTCAACTCAGTCCATTGTGAAAATTTCTGGGTGGACCAGGGACCAGGATTGTCCATGAACCACATGAATTCTTACGTTCAGGTCAAGTCTATCAAATCCAAGTGATCATATTCTGTTACGTAGCTCTGTGGACTACTCAATTAAGATTGTTGGGCCAACTTTGTGGGCCTGCCGATCCGATTCGATGTAGGCTCTTTGGATTTTGCTTCACGCAATAGTATAGCATGGGCGAAGCTTTCATGCCATGCAATAACCGGACAGGAAGGAAGAACAGGTCTGCTTTCATGAGTCCGGCCCATTGAGAAAAGACGGATGCAAGTTGTTCCATCTTCAATGCTATAGAGTACTAGCTAGGAGCATAGAAGAGGTAGGGAATTGGTTAAAGAAAACTAATAGCTCTAATAGATTAAGCTGGTTACACATCTAGTTTTATGATAAGTTCTGATCATTCAGATTACGAAAACATAATCACGACCGGTAGTAATAATATCAATTAACCACGAAATAATAATGTATAATACTATTAATTTGAGCCAACCTGTCGGGGTTCACGATGAACTCTGATGGTTCGCTTTTGTTAAAATAGATTTGTCGATCTCGAACCTTCAACCACTAAAAAATCCGTGTTAAGTTTGGTTTGTGATTAATTAATAATTATGTTGGATTCTTTGAGCAATACACTTGTTCTTCCCTTCATTAAATTTCCCCCTTTATTTCCTTGTATATAATATAAGTATGTTGCATGTATACTGTAATAGTAGACTTCTTCGTTGACATTAGAGTAGTTTTAATACAGAGGTCTACTCTCTCGTCCTCATAGAAAACTTTGGGATCCATCCTAATCACATCGATATGGGGATGTAGACATGCTTATAGGTAGAGGTGGACTACACTCCAAAACCTAGATAGCTACACTATGACCTTAATCTTAACCATTTATATCTCTAATAGGATAATTTATCAATCAATGCTGTAACACTAAAGAGATTTAGGAGTGGAGTTCGGTCGGTTCAGTTATAACCGGTAATTGATTGTCCACCCCTAAAGTGATTAAACAGAAGAAATGGCAATAAAAAAGAAATGTTTTAATACAATGTTGTATCTCTAATCGAATATTGACGCAATATATAATACAATTCCAGACTTTCAATATTCACACCACATAATTCGAATATTTATTGGAGAAAATCTAACGTTCTCGTGTTGTTTAAATATTCTCATCATATATGTTATGTGAATACGAGAATTAGGGTATATGACGATTATCATATTTTATTTTGAAAAGTGTATACAAAATATCTATATTTATGTTTCTAAATTGAAAATTTTTTGTTCTTAGCAATATGTTTCATCACAACAATATTCTAACAAATATCGCTATAAAATAAAAAAGGATGTAATTAAGGACTGCGTGTCGAATTTCGATTCCCCTCATCTATATATTATCTGCTCCGAATCTCGTCTCACACAATTTTGTTTTTCGGATGAATCGTAATAACTTTATAGTACATAATCCATCTCAGCACTCCTACACACTGAGCATCATTAGCTTTTAAGTTCATACAATAACTTTTTCATTCCATCCAAAACATGTGTTATCAGTTGAAATTAAATTATTTATTATTATATATTATCCATAGATGTCTCCTGTACTTTGCCGATATAGAATCAGTCTAAATTATCACCGAATCGATACAGAAATTTTAAAATTTGTAAAATAATATTGGTAAAAATAATTCGTTTCAAAACCGTAAATAAATCAGCGGGCTGTATAAGGCTTTTTGATAGAATTCAAACCCCTACTACTCTAGCTCCTGGACCTCGATCATAGGCCCCACCAGCCTTACGTACCTCCCATATTTGTCTTGCGCGTGGACGATAAAGTCAAAGTCATCATCATCCAAGTTCACATAACCTTTTTGTTCATTCTCCCGACGTCTGGTCCTCAATTTTTACTCTTTTTTTTTTCAACTTTTACGTAAGAAATAGTTTTACGATCTTCCTCTACTTTCTTTTGCGCTGTCGTCTTTCGTCGCTCTATATATATCCCCATCTTCCACTTCGGTTGCTTAAATTCAATTCCTTTCGTCACCTTTCAAGTCCCGAGCTATTCCTCTGTTTCTTTCTTCTTTCCAATATTCTCCTCCCTCCCTCCCTCGTATCAATCTATATCATTAATCAAAGGACCGCCGGAGAATCAGTAAATTAACCAAAGGTATAATATTGATCGCCGACCATGGCCGGAGCAAGCGGGGGAAGATCATTGGAGGAAACGCCGACATGGGCAGTCGCCGCCGTTTGCTTCGTGCTGGTCCTCATCTCCATCATCATAGAGCACATCATCCATCTCATCGGAAAGGTAACTTTTTTTTTGTTTTTAATAAAGGTGACATAGATTTGTTTTTATAGTTAAGAGATACGTAAATAATTTTTCAACTACAGTGGTTGAAGAAGAAGCGAAAGCGAGCGGTACACGAAGCACTGGAGAAAGTGAAATCAGGTAATTAATTTAGTGATCATATAGCAAGCTCAGTATCCTCATTTATCAAAAAAAAAAAAAAAAAAAGCAAGCTCAGTAGTTCGATCGGCCGATATTTTTGTTATTATTCTAACAATTTCTCCTCCGACGTGCTATATCCGTGGCAGAGCTGATGCTGCTGGGATTCATATCGTTGCTTCTAACGGTGGGACAAGGCCCGATTTCACGAATATGTATATCGAAGAAGCTGGGAGCGACTTGGCACCCATGTGGCAAGAATAGGCAGGTCGATGATGAGTCATCGACTGACGGAGACAGCCGCCGCCGGCTCCTGTCAATGGCCGCCGATCATTACTTCAACTCTCCCGGTGGAAAGATCGTGAGGCGGGTCCTGGCCGGCGGTACCGAAGACAAATGTGCGGCCAAGGTACGTACGTTTTTGTAGGTTAACTTTGATGATCACGATCGACGACCAGTCTATCTATGTTGTTGTTCTACACATAAAAAAAAATTTGTTGCTGTACGAACTGACGTATGTACTAACGTACGATACCTTAAAAACCAAAGAATTAATTTATTCATTTTAACTATTCATTTCTTTCCACATTTAAAATTATCCCGGAATTTGAACATGTGGTGCGGCGGCATTGAATTTTCAATTTTTCACCGTTCCAATCGATAACCGGAAAGCGACTGATAGAAGAACTATTGGTAATTAAATAAATAGCTAATTAATTAATTAATTAATTGGATTGAGCAGTAAATAATGATAATAATATGTGGATGGTACAGGGTCAAGTGCCATTTGTGTCGTCGGATGGGATTCACCAGCTGCACATTTTCATATTCGTGCTCGCCATTTTCCACGTTCTTTACTGTGTCCTCACTATGGCCCTCGGCCGAGCTAAGGTAAAACAAAAAAAAAAAAAATATTACTTATTAAATGGGCTGCCGGTTGATTTTATTCGGTTTTGCCACCTAATGGTACGTTGTGAATTTTGTACTGACGCCGGCCGGCGGCCGGGCATTTTGTTGTTGCAATGATATGATATAGATGAGGAGCTGGAAGGCCTGGGAGAAGGAAACAAGAACTGCCGAGTATCAATACTCCCACGGTACTACCTAATTGGTTCATTTTTTTTTTTATTTTCATTAATTATCAAAAGAATATCAAATTACGGTTTTATAATTTATATGAGATTACGAATTGAACAGATCCAGAGAGATTTCGGTTTGCAAGGGAAACTTCGTTTGGGAGGCGGCATATGAGCTTCTGGACCACCACGCCGGTTCTCATTTGGATTGTAAGTAATTTCATAAAGTAATCACAAATTATAATAATAAAATTTTTTATTAGAATGAGCTAGATTGATTTTTATAGTTAGTTGTTACTGAAGTGATTCGAATCGGGAACCTGCCAATCAAATTATAATAAAAATATTAATATTTTAAATAGGCTATATAGACCACTCTAAACTATACATAACCATGGCTCATAAAAACACATAGCACAACTACATGCATGCATTCCTGTAAAAAGCGTATGACGTTTCATTTAGCATGAATCTTTCAAATTTAGAACCTCATACTCTCGTTGGTTGGTGCTAGTTGTACTTACGGATCCTATATGTGTCATTTTGATTTCGGTCGTCTCCTTCAAATCTGGAATAGTCTGAAAGTGAAAGATCGGTCCCCCTTTGAGGAAAATTAGATAAGCGTGTTTAAGCAAAGAAGTCATCGACATGGTGACTTAGCTAGCTTGCCAATTGCCATGGTTCTGCACCCACCATTTTTGTCAACAAACGGTACAACCCTCCATTAATGTTGGCTTATGGACTTGGGAATTGTTGATTGCATTGTCCCACTTGTCCCAAAGTTTGTTTCATGAATGAATACGTATATTAGCAATTGTATGTCACAATCGATCTTGGTCATCTCAATCAATGTTTTTGCAACCTTCATGCTACTTGTGTTTGCATTCTGTACTAGCATGCATGCGTGTTTTAGGGTATGGGACTTTGATCAGCGTCATCGTGTGTATCTCAACTCATGTTGTACAAGTGTGACCCTAAGGGAATGCACTTCTTGCGTGTAATCAATCATGTGTCTATAGAATCATTCATTTGTAAGGAGATAAAAAAAGGTTAACTATGATATGATCACCTGCTTAACTTGTTTCAAATGGAGAACAAAATCAATGTTTTTGTATAGTAGAGTCTTATTAAACACCAAAATCAACCCAAATTATGATGAATTGGGTAACAAATCAAGCCCATATGTAAAAATCAAGGGCAATAACATCTTATGGGCGGTTTGCTTGTATGATTTGAAAATGAGGGGTTCTGAGTTTTTGAAAAATCTTTGAATATATGATGGATCCCACGGATTCGAATTCCCTCAATCAGATCCTAAATATATTGTACGATTTACAAATTCGCGGGGAATTAAAAAGTCCGAATCCGTAAGACCCACAAATTTAACTATCAATTTTCCAAAACCAATTTTTTTCTTAAATCCATCATACTTAGAATTTGAGCAACACATCTATAACCTAAATCCAACAACCAAATCACCCCCTTAACATTAATGCTAATATCTTCTTCACCGACTTGTGTGGACTTTTTTCATCAAGTCATTAAACTCGTAGCTAATTTGAGTTTGCATTCATTATTGATAGGTGAGCTTTTTCAGGCAGTTTGTGAGATCCGTTCCTAAGGTCGACTACATGACATTGAGGCATGGCTTTATCTTGGTAATTAATTTCTAACCCCATAACCCAGCAATATTCAATTAGAGATTTGTACCTATATTATTAATTGATCCACGTGCATGCAATCAGTTGATCATTTTTGTTGTTGACTTAATACGTTCTTAGGCACATTTGGCACCTCAAAGCCAAACCAGTTTCGACTTCCAAAAGTACATCAATCGATCTTTGGAAGAAGATTTCAAAGTCGTCGTTGGAATAAGGTCAGTCTCACCAATTTAATTATTTCGTAGATACACAAAAAACAATTCGTTAGTATTTAATAATCGTAGTTGAACAATCAACAGAACCAAATATAGATTTCTATTGCATCATGATATATATATTTTCTTTGACGAATCGGTTTGTTTGATTGCTCAAATTTAAATTTTTTCTTTTGCAGTCCACCGATATGGTTCTTCGCGGTGCTCTTCCTTCTCTTCAACACCCACGGTGAGTAGTAACAATTGTATTAATCTTTCAATCAAAGAATAATGATTATCTACCGTCTTACAATTAATTATATTGATATTTCAAATATTGAAATTGGTTTTTTTAATAAAATTTTAGGGTGGTATTCTTACTTGTGGCTACCCTTCATCCCTTTGATCGTGAGTGTCCCAATCTATTATTAGCTAGAAATTGAATTGAAATTCAGAATGATCTAACGGTTACTAATGAGTTCAAAATTTACCCGACAAATAATGGACGGTCACAGATTATCCTGCTGGTGGGGACGAAGCTACAGGTGATCATAACCAAGATGGGCCTGAGGATCCAAGAACGAGGGGAAGTGGTCAAAGGCGTCCCCGTGGTCCAACCGGGCGATCACCTATTCTGGTTCAACCGCCCTCGCCTCCTCCTCTATCTAATCAATTTCGTTCTCTTCCAAGTACGTACATCCCTTGATTTCACCCACTTTTTAATTTCATGCACCCTGGGCCATGATTTTATTGCCGGTTGATTTTGGGCCTAATTTGGATTTTCCATTTGTGTTTTTGTCTTTCTCACTTATGGGCCTGTGGCTGCAGAACGCCTTCCAGCTCGCTTTCTTTGCATGGGCCTGGGTAAGCCCACCTTTCTTAATAGTCCTTTTAGTCTTTGCCCTCTAGTTAATAAGGCTTTAACGACCAACTAATCTTGTTTGGTTGCTACAAATGCAGAAAGAGTACGGGTTGAAATCCTGCTTCCACGAGCATTTGGAGGACATTATCATAAGAATTACCATGGGGTACTTAACCGATTTCTCATCTCTAATCAATCAAGAGGGAAGGATACCTTAATTTTTAAGGTCATGATGCCCTAATTATTGGTTTAACTCACTTAAAAACTCCTTATCTCTTTGACAGAGTGCTCATACAAATATTATGTAGCTACGTCACTCTTCCTCTCTACGCCCTCGTCACTCAGGTTACTATTTTCTCCATTATCGAGTAAAACATTTTACTAACAACAATCATATTAGAAGCTCATTTTCATAATAATGTTTTTAAGGACAATTTTCAACGCAGAAGTAACACTACTGTTAATTCTGCAATTCGCAATTTCAGTCCGTAAATTTATACATTAGATTCATAGAGAGTATTAACTTCGACACATTTGTTTCACCACGATCTCCCGCCTCTTAATTGGCAGATGGGGTCGACGATGAAGCCGACGGTATTCAACGAGAGCGTGGCGACGGCGCTGCGGAAGTGGCACCACACGGCCAAAAAGAACGTCAAGCAGAGCAAAGCCAGCGGCGTCTCTTCCACCGGCACGCCGGCGTCGAGCCGCCCCACCACGCCTTCCCACCACCAACACCTCTCCCCGATCCACCTCCTCCGCAACCACCGCGCCTCCGAGTTCTCGGCCGCCGACAGCCTCCAGAGCTCTCCCCGGCGGTCCAATTTCTACTGGTACGGCGACTCCCCGTCGCCGACCGAGCACCAGCACTACGGCGCCAACGCCAATTACTACCTCGAGGAAGGCTCGCCGTCGCAAGATCGCCGCGAATTGCAGTTACAGACACGGAATCAGAACAACGGCGCAGCCGAACCCGCAGCGCCGTATTACGTGGAGCATTTCGACGGCCAGGAAGAATATTTAGGAATAGAAAGACAAGGGGGAGAGGGATATCCCGGTCGGATTCAAGGGGTTCCGGCGGATCCGCAACCGGATCGGACGCAGCACGAGATCGATATAGTTGGGAAGGAATTTTCGTTCGATCGGAGAACCGGTATATGAATTTGAGAGGAGAAAAGAGATGGCTAGGGATTTGGAAGTTCGATTCATGATAATTAATTTAGGGATGGATGACCCGACCCGACCCGACCCGCCCGCTCATGAGATATGGTAAAGTGGCAGAGGCGGAGATATGGTTTCATTATTTTTGTATTTTGTGTAAATATTTTTTTGTTTCCGACATTTTTCTTCTGTTTTTTGATGAATTTAAAACGATAGACAGAAAAACAAGTGAACAATTTGCACTTTGTGCTTGGTTGTTCAATTTTCCTTTCTTACGAACTAAAGAAGCTGTTTATTTAAACTTTGAATTAGAACAAAAGATTGTTAAATTAAGTTATTACTCTATTGAGGCAAGGATTATTTTCTATTGGAAACGTGTAAATTTGCATAGTTCCGACTATATTTTCTAATTGCAAAGCGTTGGTTGAGATATTGAAAGCGAACTTGAACCTGTAGCCATGACGTTGTTACACTATCCTCTCTTCCATAGTCTAGATCCTTCAAAGATCAGTCTAGATTCGTGTTTCTTTCACCGATCCTAAATGATTTTATTACGGATTTGTTTGTTTGATGGATTTTGTCAAGGATTTGATGATGAATATGGATCCAAAACGGATTTGGTACAAAATCCATTGTTTGATTCAAATATTTAGAGGTAACAAATCGTGGGACCCATTGACTTTGAGAGACCAAATTCGTGGGCCACACGGACTTGAAAATTCCACCTCTTTAAGTAGGAATTGATTGTGGACTTTGAAGTCTATCATTTTTTGCCAACCTACCCCTCATGCTTTCTTTCTCTTCTTATATCATTGAGGACAGTAAAACTAAGTTTAACTTCATACATACAAATTTAACTAACAAAATCCATAATAAAATCCATGAAACAAACAACGGTATTTTTCAAATCTATAATAAACCAAAAAATCTCATATATCCATAATTTTTCAAAATTCAAATTATACCAAAACTTTCATTTTTTTTATATCCACGAAACAAACAACTTGATAAATAACTGATCACAAAATAAGCTTTAATCCATGGGCAATGATCAAACTCCTAATTATATAGGTAAACCACGAGGAACTCAACCACCATGCCACATCCTTGTGGGCCAGGCCTCGACGCCATATGGCGTGGCTCGTCGGTCGAGGTTTTACGTTACAAAGTCGCAACCATATCTCCAGGCTCCAGCCCATTCTAGAGCATAATAAACTTCGTCAGCAGCCAGCCAGCATCAGAAACTCCTTTTTCTTTTTTCCAGAGGCACAAAATGACACAGCCAGCCACCAAGTCCAAACCCATAGAAACAAGTTCCACCTTCTTATCCCAAAACAAAGGCCTGCCTCTGGTTTTCTCTCTTCCACTAGCTACTGCATCCACAGACGACACAGGCACACAGAATCTATAACACTGCCTGCAGCCATCACCCTTTTGATCTCCCTTATTTATATAGCAAAACCACACCCACCAAGCCAGCACCGATTCGCATCCGCAGAGAAAAGAAGCTTAATTTACTTTGAGCAATCAGAAAGGAAGGATCTCGATAATGCCATAATGGAGTTGGAGGTGTTTGGGACGATGCTGGGGAAGATGGGTCGGCAGTGCTACGCGGTGCTGTGCCTGAGTACTATGATAGTGGTGGCCTCTCTCACCATTGCTCACTGCTATGCAACTACTTTGGCCGGCGACGATGAGGATCAAGATCCAAGGGAGCGGTCCAGGCGCCGTCTCCGGGCCATGGCTTTCTGATCATTTCATCACAAATCATGAAACCCTTGATGATCATGAGTCAAGTCTCTCGTTGTGTTGGTCAAAACAGGGCACAAGAGATGTACATCGATGTGATTAATTTGAGTACTTCAGCTCTTCTTTCTTTCGTTCATGACTCTCTCTAACGTCACGTTTGGTTGCCTATGTTTGTAACCTAATAATGCAGGCTTAACTAGGCCCAATAATATATAATTACTTTATAGTTGATTGTCACTTCAGAATTCAGAACGTATTTGATGAACTTGAATGCTGGAAACTAGGTTTCTAACGATTTACGGAATTGGGGGGAATTACTCCATCAATGAGGTGATGACCTAATTATGGATTTAGGATAAGAAGAGTTGAAGAACAAGAAGAGGGTTGAGGAAGGTTAGCTGCTGCGGCAGGCTTAGGGAGAGGAAGGAGACGTGGGAGGAAGGAGAGTGACAGGATTAGGGTTGATAATTTTGATATGTAATTGCTTAATGGGAAAACCCTACTAATTACAAATTATATAGTCCTATCAATACCTGTTTCATATCCAACTAAAATGACATAACAATAGACTCTCCAATTATTCCTAGAATTCCTCAAATAATCCCAAAACATCTAAAACCGACAAATAATCCCAAATAACAGAAAACCGCAATTAATGAGTTTCTAACATCCCCGCCTCCTTAAAAAAACAACCTTGCCCTCAAGGTTGTAGCTCCTACTCCAGCTCCGGATGTCTTACTTCCTCAGCTTCATCCTCCGCCTCGTCTTCCCAGCGTCCCACCAGCATCATCAAGTTTGGTTTGGCACATTTGTGCCCCACTGTGAACCTCTCATCGCAGTTGAAGCACTTTCCTTCCCTTCTCTTCTGCTCGATCTCTGCCGGTGACGGTCAAACAAATCCCTTTGGCGGCGGCCTAGGTCATGGACGTGTTGTGGTTGTCGTGTCGGTCGCTGTAGAGCCCGCCCCGGCAGGCGTGCTCCCTCCTCCGCCGCTAGACACAGTGCCACCACCCCCACTTCCAACAGCCTTCGGGAAGCGCCCAATCGTGCTCCTCCAACTTGCTAGCTCCTCTTCCTTGTGACCTGCAAGACGAAAAGCGGTCCTCAAAGAATCCGGTCGAAAACCTTGACGCAGCGGCGATCTCTGGCTTCAGACCGACCATACACAACCCAACCAAGGTCCCTCCGGTACACCCTTGCATTGGTTGCCTAGCTTGAAGAATTCCGCCATTGTCCCCGTCTGACGTGGCTTAGCCAGTTGCTCCGGCACCCACCCTTCCGACTTACCAAACCGGTACCACAACTCCTCCTAGAACAAGAGTTGGGTGATCAAAGTCTGGGCAGCTGCACACGACTGCTCTAACCACTCCCACCACTACAATGCATCACCTTCTAAATAAAAAGATGCGAGATGCGACTTTTGCTCCTCCTTGGTGGGATGGTTCTTGAAGCAGCTGTCAGCTGCATACAACCAAAGGCCTGCATCCTCCTGACCATTGAATTTTTGGAACTCAATGGTAGGGGGTTTGGCCCTAAACATAAGATCACCATCATAGCCACGAGGGTAGCCGTCATACCTGTCGTAACCTGAGGCTCGTTCACGATAATTCCGCTGAACCCGTGGCTCTCTATATCGGCCCCACCCATCATCTTTCTCGAACGGGTACTCTGTATACTCGTCCAGTCCGCCCTTCTGTGCATGCCTTGTATCCCAATATCCCGCCGGCGATCGCCGTTCCGATCGGGGACCGGTGAAAGGCGGATAAGATGATCCCAAACCTCTGCCGAACTCTCTCCTGGTTGCTGGTCCACTGCTACCCGCTCCAACCGGGATCTGGCTGGGTCGGTTCAGTATGGTCCGATTCGGTCCAACCAATTTCAGCCAACCCTAGACGACCCGAGTTGGTTCGGCCTGCTCCGGTCCATTCGCCCCGTTTCGAGCCCCACCCAGGTGGCTGATCGACCTCTCTTGCCATGCCCCGCCCGATTTTACTCCTTCCCGGTTCAGCCCAACTCTTTGTTTGCCCTGCCAGGCTCAGCTCATCTTCTTCTGGGTCCATGCCCAGCCACCCAATCTTGTTGGGTTCCTTGCCACGACCAAACTCAGCTGCTTGGCCCACCGAATCATGCGCCCCAAAACTCACTGTGGCCCAAGGTCGTCATAGCCTAGCATTTTTGCTTTTCCCCGTATTGTCGCGATCTCTTGGGCCGACGGGGTTGGTAACAGGCCCGACCCACTGCCTCGCCCACACGCGTCGTGGCCCGCACGATCCGTGTTTCCCGACTCCACATCCGCCGCCTTCACCCCTTCGACCTCCGCCGCCTTCACCCCTTTGACCTCCGCCGCTTCTCCCCTCTGCGACGCGGCTGTCTTCGCCGAGAACGACCCCAGCCCGCTCCGACCGTTTTCCCCCGGAGCCAGTGCCCCTGACTCGCCCGATACCGATGTAGGTCTCGCCGTGTTCTCCGCTCCGGTCCCCTTTGCTGGTAGCGACGCGACCGCCTGCGTGAGGTTCTCCAGCATCTGGCGGATGCCCTCAGCATCCGCCTTCACCTTGGCCTGCACCCTCGCCAGTTCTTCTTCGAGTCGAGCCAGCGCCCCTGAGTGTTCTTACACCACCAACCTCATCGCTTCGAGCTCCGTCATGTCCTCCACTGCGCCGTCGGTTCCCCTGTGTAGGTTCGTGGGTTTTTTCTCGGCGGTTGCGGCTTGAACTGCCTTCCCTACTGCTACGCATGATTTTGTTTGAACCATCGTCGCCTTTCGATCTGCCCTGGTTCACGAGTTATGAAAACTCACTCTCGAACTGTGCTCTAATACCAAATCTTAGAAATTAGGTTTCTAATGATTTACGAAATTAGGGGAAATTACTAGATCAATGAGGTGATGACCTAGTTATGGATTTAGGATAAGAAGAGTTGAAGAACAAGAAGAGGGTTGATGAAGGTTAGCTGATGAGGTAGCCTTAGGGAGAGGAAGAGAGGAAGGAGACGTGGGAGGAAAGAGAGATAGAGAGGATTAGGGTTGATAATTTTTATTTGTAATTGCCTAATGGGAAAATCCTACTAATTACAAATTATATAGTCCTACCAATAACAGTTCCATACCCAACTAAAATGACATAACAATAGACTCCCCAATTATTCCCAAAATTCTCCAAATAATCCCCAAACATCTAAAACCGACAAATAATCTCAAATAACAGAAAACCGCAATTAATGAGTTTCTAACATTGAACAACAAGGGATAAACGATGAAACAAGTTTAAAGCGAGTGGCCAAGAAGTATACATTTTTTTAAATCAAAATAAGCCGAGAGGGAATGAGCGGACAACTCATTGCTCAATGTCAAGAAGTACAAGAATGATACGTGATATTCGGACTACTGATAAAATCACCTATTTTGTCACTAAAATATGCAATGTGGAGAAAGCTTTGAAGAGCAAATGACACTAGCGAAACGAAAACGACTAAAAAAAAGAGATTTCATCCAAAAGAACTTCTTAAAAATCGACAAAACAGACAATGTAGCCGGATGACAACAAGTTTAGGGGTTGTTAAAATGATGAATTCTAACAGATCAATTTGACTAAATTATTTTATTTTGAGATGATAGGCCAAACGAACATTTGATTGCATAAAATTTGAATGGAAAAATTTAGCCCGATTAATTTTGAGTTGACTCTTTGTGAAACAATCACAGTAATCTAGTATGGGAAAAAAGACTAATAACGAGATTCTTGACTAGAAGATAGGAGAGATCATATGAGTAGCTCATTATGTAAAATAAATAATTGATCAAACTAGCATGTACTCACATTTTTCAATCAATTTGTCCAAACAATCTAGCATTTTTGGCCCACAATTAGTAGTAACGAGCTTCAAAATTATAAAAGTAATCCATTTGTTTGAAAAGTCAAAATTGATTGATGATGTCATCATAACAACTCACATAATTATTTACTGCTATTTATTCACGAACCCCCATACATAGCCAGCAAGGCCTGAACTGACTCGGAGTCACAGTCCCCAGCCAAATAGGAAAAAATCCCAGAATACGCTAGTTATTAAAAAAAATTCCCTAAATACAGTACTTATAAAACTAATTCCCAAAATACAGCAGTTTCAACATCACTGTCTTTGTCTAAGACAGTGATGTTGATCACCGCTTTTGTCCAAAGCAGTGAAGCAGCGGGGTACGCATCACCGCCTTGGACAAAAGCGGGGAATGCATCATCGCTGTGGTCAAAAGCGGTGATACGTTCCCCGCTTTGGACATCAACAGTGAAGCCATCACCGCTGTTGTCCACAGCAGTGATTGCCCCCACGTTTTACACAGCCCTGGTAGGTGGACAGGTAGGTAACAGCTACCTAGCCATCACCGCTGTTGACTAAGGCGATGATGGTTCACCGCCTTTGTCCAAAGCGGTGATTGCCTCCAATTTTTCCTATAAAAAGCCACGCCCCCTCTTCCCTCCTGCTGCCAAACACTCCTGCTGCCAAACAGAAAATTAGTACCAAAATTATCGTTTTCGCAGCTGGTTCCTCCGTAGTTTACTGCTCAAGAAACTCGTCGGGATTCGGTATGTTAGAATTATGTATTGTTTACATTTTGATTATGTGCTAGAATTAGGTATGTTAGAATTATATATTTAGATTAATGATATATGTTAGTTAGTTAGTACTGAATTTAGATTAATTTGTTTAGTTATCATGATAGATCGGGATTGAGTATGTTATAAGTATGTATTTTTTACATGTTGATGTGTTAGTAATTATACTGTTTGTATTTAGTGAATTGCGGTTATTGGAAAATATGTTATGATATTATTTAGTTTAATTATGATATGATAGATGTTAGTTAGCTAGTTATGAATTTAGATGAATTTGTTTAGTTTTCTCATAATAGATAAATTAGTTGCATTTTATTATCGCTTTGGATGATATTGTTTTTGTATCCATAATGTACTAATTATATACTATACTTAATTATTATAAATTGCAGACATGGGTAAATTTAAGAAGTTTCGGCTTATTATTTATTGGAATGGTCGGGTGACAAACTCGAACATTGGGATCGACTATGAAGATGGCGAATCCAGTTCGCTTACAATTGAGTCGAGATTCTCGTGGCAAGAACTCCATGACAGGTGTGCAGAAAGGACTTGTACGGGCGGGCAAATGAGAGTTCGTCAAATTACTTACCGGTATCCCAACATGAGTGCTGACGGAGTCATGTACGAAAGAGTTGACATAAATGACGATGACGACGCGAACATGATGACACAGTTCATATCTGAGAACGGGGTGCGGCTTGCAGAGGTGTATGTCGAGACCGAGCCGGTCAGTGAAACTCATTCTCACCAGTATTCTTATGATGATGGTTTTGCAGGAGGGTATGGCTGGGGTGGTAGTTCAAGTAACTACGGAGCAGGTTCTTCTGCCGGAGGGTATGGTTGGGGAGGTACTTCAAGCAACTACGGAGGAGGTAGTTCTGAAGGAGCTGTTGGGTGGGAAGAATACCTGCCACATGGTGGTGAGACTGCCGTCGATATCGTTCAGCCCGACGGTGATCAATGGCCTGCTTGGGGTCCAGAGTGGGGTGACATTGAAAACACCCTTCGAACTGGGCGTACTTCGCATGACCAAGAAGGCGATGCTGGTTATGCTGCTAAAGATGACCCTCCTTCGCCGAGCTATCCATTCGCCTCCAGTGACGATGAAAGTGAGGAAGATTTGAGATCAGTCAGTGAGGAGGAAGATGCGGACGATAACGACGATATCGATGACAGTGAGGTGGCGTTCCGCCAGGCACCAACGCCTTACTACACAGAGGTTCCTGATCAATTTTTATATGGTCAGAACGATGCCCCTGACTATCGGCCCATGCCTGTGTATAATCCGACTGCTAATTTGGAAGTGGGTATGGCGTTCACTTCAAAAGCCGATGTGCAAGACGCTTTTAGCGAAGAAGCCATGCGGCGTAATTTCGAATGGAAGGTAAAATATTCTGACAAGGGACAACTGCATGTCATTTGTAAGAATGCTGGAGAGGGTTGTATGTGGCAACTTCGTGCTGCATATATGAAGAGAAAGGGGGTCTGGGTCATGCGGACAGCAGAGAACAACCACAGTTGCTCCTCAACCATACTTTCACAGGATCACCGGCAACTGAAAGCAAAAAAAGTGGCAAGAACCATTAAGCACCTTATCGAGGCACAACCAGATATCAAGATAAAAGCTATCATGGCGGAGGTGAAGGATCGACACTCCTACACCATAAGGTATAAGAAGGCGTGGCATGGGAAGCAGAAGGCCATGGCTGATGTCTACGGTGATTGGGATGACTCGTATGCTTTACTCCCCAGACTAATGTCCGCAATGGAGGAGTCCAACCCTGGGACGGTTTCCGTGCCTTGGTACAACAACGTAGAAACTGAAGATCAAGTTCGAGTACAGAACGAGTTGATGTTTCATCGTCTGTTCTGGACATTCAAGCCATGCATTGACGGGTTTCCCTTCTGCATGCCAGTGATTCAGGTATATTACGGACTCAAAATATTGTACTACTTCATTACTTTACTAATTTCAATTTTTACTAACTCAGTATTCATTTTAACAGGTTGATGGAACTTTCCTTACTGGGAAGTATAAAGGAACTCTTCTTATTGCCACTGGGGTTGATGGAAATTTAAGTATTTTTCCCTTAGCATTTGCATTAGTTGAAGGGGAGAACAACCTAAGTTGGGCATGGTTCTTTGACCAGCTACACGCCCACGTCACACAAAGAATGGGTATTACAATTATATCGGATCGACATGCCGGGATTAAACACGCCGTCCGTGGTTTCCCGGACGAATGGGGATGGACATGGCGTTGGTGTATTCGTCACTTCCTAGCCAATTTCCAACACAAATTTGGCAAGAAGAAAGACATCAGAGATCAATTATGGAGTGCAGGTAATAATGTAATTCAGTGCTTGTTCAAGGTTTATTGTTCAAATGACAATTCTTATGGATTAATTATTAATTCTCCGGTCTTGTAGCGGTTGCACATCAACCAAAAAAGTACGAGCAGAAGATGAAGACGATCCGTCAAATACACCGGGCGGGAGCAGTATGGGCAGAAGGTCAAGATCTGCACATGTGGACATTTCACATGGACAACGGGGCTAGATTCGGAATTGCAACTACCAACCATGGGGAGAGCATAAATGGAGTCTACAAGGGCATTAGGGCAATGCCTGTATCTGTCCTAGTGGAGATGACATACTGGAAGGTAAACGAGTGGTTTGTGAAGAGACGGGATGCTGCTATAGGGAGGGAGCGTGCTGGTCATTCAATAGCTAAGCATATATTTGACGGCATGCAGAAGATCGAAGAGAAATCAAGTAAGCACAGAGTTGTTCTGTTCAACCGCAATGAGGGTATTTTTGCTGTGCAAACAGGTATCTGGGGTGGAGGAAGACGTGGGCATAATCGTCAATCCGTAACTCTACACGTAGAAACTCGCACCGGAGAGTGTACATGCCAAAAGTATCAAAACAGAAGAGTACCTTGTTCACATGCAATGGCAGTAGCTAAGTCGATAACCCTCAGCGCTTACAGTTTGGTTAGTCCTTACTACACGGAACAGGCGATCAGGAACTCATACTCGTCAAGTTTTAGCCCCCTGCCGGATGAAGCTTATTGGCCTGTAGACAATGGGAAGTTGATTATCCCACCGTTACACTTAAAGCGCACCAAAGGTCGTCCTAGGACCGAAAGGATTCACAATGAAATGGACCAATCACAACGTGCCCGACGGGGTCCAAAGCGTTGCTCAAAGTGCAGACAACCGGGTCATGACAAGAGGCGTTGCCCAGGTCCACCTCTAGAGCAAGATTCGGCGCCAATTCCGAACCTACCTTGATGTTGTTGTTGTTCACTTCCTTGTTTTAATCTTGTTGAGTAGTTTTCGTTGTTGTGATGTTTAATTTGGACTTCTTGTTTTAATCTTGTTGAGTGATTGTAATAAAGGGCGTTTGTTGTTCATTTTGGTACAACATGGGGGTAAAAACCAACAAAATTTAGCCGACAGATAGTTAATGGAAAACAACACAATCCGAAACCAAATTTAGAAACATAGATAGTTCATGGAAAACAACACAAGCCCCAAACCAAATTTAGACGACATGGATAGTTCATGGAAAACAAAAAAAGATGGAACTAAATTAGAACGACATAGATAGTTCACTGGTTGTCTTCATTTCCCTCCACTTCCCCTTCTCTTCCTCTTCCTCTTCCTCCACGACCTCCTCGGCCCCTTCTTCCGCCCTCTCTACCTCCTCCTCCTTCTTCACGAGCCCGCTGGACAACTGCGCGCGGATTCCTCTTAACCCGACCACCCACCGGAGTGTAGACAGGTGGTGGGGGTGGAGGTTGCTGAGTTGGACCAGAAGTGTGGTAGAAAGTCGATGATGTATGTTGCTGTTGCGGGGTCTGATACTGAGTAGTTTGTTGCTGATGGTGGAACTGAGGGGTGGCTTGGGTGAACATGTCATGCTCCATCGTCGGGGCATAGCTTGACGACCCTCCGGTTCCCTCAGTACTAGTAGCCCACTCACAATGTGGCCATGGTTGAGGAAGTTGAGTTTGCTGAGACGGACGAAGCTCATCAATGTGTTCTCTCACCCTTCTTCTGCTCCTCCGTGGGGGCTCTTCTGGGGGCACAATCCTCTCATCAGCACGGAATGAAGGTCGGGCCGGAGCAGGCACTGGAGGGTATAATATGACATCCCTCCTTTGCTCTCTGGTACAACAGAGCAAGTTGTTGAAAAGCCTGCGCAAAAAAGATGTCTTCCGCTCATCCATGGTGGGTGCACTCTCGACGGTGTGCTTCGCATGCTCCAAACCGTCAACCTAATAAATTGTTTTACAAAATTAACTAATAGTAAATCTAATAATGATTTCTATCATCTAATATAGGCATGTAATCATACTACAAAAATTAACTAAAATTAACTCTAATAATGTTAATTAACATTCTAGCAAATATAGGCATGTAATTATACTACAAAAATTAACTAACATTAAATCTAATAATGTTAATTAACATTCTAGCAAATATAGGCATGTAATTATACTACAAAAATTAACTAAAATAGGCCAAAATGGAATTCACTTACCACTGCGCCCCAAACAGCACCTTGCTTTGACACCCATCTTAGCGTGAAGTGCCGATACCACCGCATGTAGCCATCGTGGTACCCCATTGGCCTTGTCTCCGGCGCCCCTTGGACCACCCACTGATTTCTATTCTCCCATATGTTGATGTAGAATTCATGTTTGCGGGTCCAATCCTTTTTGTTGTAGCGTAGGTCAATGGCGTGGAGCTCCCTGAACCCTTGAGGTGGGGATGCTGGAATTGGTTGCTCCAATCGATATTGCCTCAAAGATCGATCGGGCAGGTGCCACTCCACCATGTGCCAGCAGATTAAGGGCACCTTGCACAACCATGTCTCTTGATCCTCGGGATGTCTAAGACGATGCAACTCAACCACTTCATTTGGATATGGATCCCATACCGCCTACAATCATTACAATTCACGTAATTAGTAAAAATTATATCCACTCCACCTAATAAATTTAAAATCATGACATTCAATATTTTTACCTGGTTCCACCAAGGCTTATCAAATTCAGCACGATAAAACAGTAAAGAGTGCTCGGCCTGGTGGTCGTTAGTATTTGCTCCGATCCACCTAATTAAGCAAAAGTACATATATAAGCAATTTTTAAATTAGCTAAATACGATTTGGTTAGAATAAATCCAAATTCACTTACTTGGAAGATATCTAAATTCACTAAAATACTAGAATTGCAGACCTAAAATGTCTCTAAATTCGCTTAGTTGGAAGATAGCTAAGTTCACTAAAATACTATAATTGCATACTTAAAATTGCATACTAAGTTCACTAAGTTCACTAAAATCTAAATTCACCTAACTAGCTACCATTGCATATCTAAAATAAATTCAACTTAAATTGAACTTACTTGAAACCATATGGGGGATTTGCTACAAATCGTAGCTCATCATCTGGCAACCAGAATTCCCGAGGGTCTTGAGGTGCGAGAAACGGAAGATGCTCCCATGCCCAGAGTTGAAGTATGAACATCGCACCACCAGCTTGTTTCGCTCCCAACCTCGAGCAAGTACACAACTCTCGGTAGATTCCAGCCAAGACGGCCGACCCCCAACTTTTTCTCCCGATCTCGTCCCAGTCACCGAGGAGCATAGGGAACCACATGCCTTGTATCCACTTATTTGACTTGTCGGGGAACAGAAACCCACCAACCAAGGCAATTAGGTATACACGTGCATACCGCTCCACCTGATCTTCAGGAGTATCCAGGCCTATATTAACCTCCAATTGGATGTGGTCAACAAGCCACGGGATCGATACTTGCCCCGCATTCAGTGGTGGATGCCCAACCCCTTCGACGGGCGTGGTGGTCGGCATGTTGAACCCCAGACGTTCCTGAATCAATGGCCCCCAACCATCTTCTGGTTTTCTCGAGCTGTCGATGATGGCATCTCCGGTGATCGGGAGCCCGGTGAGGATGGCAACATCTTTGAGGGTGATCGTCATTTCACCCTCGGGAAAGTGGAAGGTATGCAGCTCAGGGCGCCATCGCTCTGTCATTGCCGTCAGCAGATCGTTGTCAATATCTAGCCTCATAAAGTGCCTCAAATTGTGCAATCCCGCCCTCTCTAGATAGGGATGCAGTCGAGGATGCCAACGGGGCAATCGACATGTACCTCGATGACTGATGGGAATAAGTGATTCCTACAAAACAAAAAACACAATATTGTCAGTCAATAGAAAGCAAAATAAAAACTTAGAAAGCAAAATAAAAACTTTAAAACTATTGAAATAATTGTAGTGTATCTACCGGATTATTGTTCCAAATTGAACGAGAGCGATGTTGATCTTGCCCGGTTAAATACCTTCGATCCCTTGGGCCAGGATCGATATACAATCTAGGGTCGTATATCTCAGCACCCATCTATAAAAAAATATGAAATCAAATCAATTTAAATTTTAGCACCCATGTAAAAAAAAATGCACAAAAGAATTAAATAAATTTACGTACTCTCAAAGCCTCTTCGTCCATTTTTTGCCGAAAAGCTAGCGAGAGTATCGACAAAACAACAAAACAAAAACTCTAGTAATTCTTTCTGATGCGGAAGATCGGACTTAGCCGCAACCACAGAGCATACTTAGAACGAAACTAGAGTGAAAAATGGAGGGAGAAAGAAGTATGAAGTGGTGGTGTGGTTTGGAATGAGAGGGGGGATGGGTAATTTATAGGGTTTGGGGCTGGGAAAAAACCTGGCCAGTTATCACCGCCCCAAACAAACACAGCGCCATCACCGCCTTTGTTGGACGCGGTGATGTGCAGGGATCGCTGACGTGGCCTCTCCTGATGCGTCGGATTGTGGAGAAAAACCACAATCCGCGCATAACTGCATCCGACGGCAGCGGTGAAGGCGCGGGGTGGGGGGCGGATCGCTGACGTGGAAAGCGGGGCTATCACCGCTTTGGTCTTCAGCGGTGAAGTGCCCGCGCGCGTCCACGTCAGCGATCCGCGCCCCTTCACCGCTGTTGGATCCAACGGTGAAGGCTTCACTGCCTGCCACATCAACGGTGATGCCATCACTGTCGTCCTTGACAGCGATGATGGCATCACTGCTTTGGTTTAAAGCGGTGATAACATCACTGCTTTAGTCTAAAGCGGTGATGTATCATCGTTTTAGACCAAAACGGTGATCAACATCACTGTCTTAGACAAAGACAGTGATGTTGAAACTGCTGTATTTTGGGAATTAGTTTTATAAGTACTGTATTTTGGTAATTTTTTTTAATAATTGGTATATTCTGGGATTTTTTCCAGCCAAATACCAATCTTTATCCACAACGTAAAAGGCATGAGCACCCCTGACCTTATTTACTTAAAAGCCCCCGACCATCCCACTTATCTACCATTCTAGCCACCTGCTTTACCGACTTATACTTTTACCTCTGCCCCCTGATTCGATCGATTCCACCCAGTCCCACCGCCTTCCCTCCGATTTCTTCACATCTCTGATCTGAGTTCATCGTCCTTCAACACAAAGATGGCGAGAGGTTCTTCGCAGTCCCAATCATCCACCTCAACCGGCGGCGCCGCCCGTCCCGCCGTCACAGCCCCTCGGGGCTCCGCTGCCGCCACCGCCGGGATGCGCCGACGCCGGCTCGGAGGTCCTTCGTCCACTGCTTCTTCTGCCTCGGAAGGAGGCGTCGGAAGTTCCGGCGGGAACATGCTCCGATTCTACACAGACGATGCTCCCGGGATCAAGATCTCCCCCACCGTCGTCCTCGTCCTCAGCCTCTGCTTCATCGGCTGCGTCACCGCCCTCCACGTCTTCGGCAAGCTCTACCGCAGCAAGCTCGTTCCGCCGGGAGCCCAATAAGAAGTTACTTCCCCGCCGATAGCTTACTCTGTTGACTTTGTAAGTTCGAATCTGTTGTGTGTTAGTGGGTTTTTTTCTCTCGGTTTGTTTTGTTTTCCCCCCTTTTTGTTGCCGAATCGGAGACATTAGGGTTTTTTTACGGCGGTTCGATCGATCGGTTGAATTTCCGAACAATCGCTTGTACAAAGTTTTGGATTTTGTGAATGATTGAGACCCTTTAATCACTCGTGTTAATTACTTAATTACTGTGATGATGTGAACTGTGGAGAGATTTGGAGTTGACTCTTTCGGGCCGGCGTGGATGTCGAATGGTCCTTGGCTTGCTTGTACATGTTGAAACCACCAGAAGCAGATTAATACGATACGGAATTGAAAGGCACACGAGTTTACGTAGTATCCCTGAACGTGATCCAGGACTAATCCACGGAAGAGTTTAGAACGCTCTTCATGCTGCTGTTTTACGATGATGAATGAATGATTTTAAGATACAGATGTTGCAATGGACCGGCGCATTGGTTAGCCCACTCAATTGCTAGTTGGGATAATCAAGTTGTTTGGGTCAGTGATCCACCTTTTCCTATTGGTAGCTTGATTGAGGCCGATTTGGACCGTGGCCCTAGTAGCCTGACTTGAGTCTTTGGAATGAAATTGCCAGGTTTTCCATAAAAAAAAAGATACAAATGGCTGCAGTCTCTCAACCCTATACATAGACGTGCCCTAGGTTTGGGATTAACACAATCAACGTCCCAACCTTGCATGGGCCTGCATGGGCTAATTAAATGTGTGCTTAAAGAATCTATCACACTAAGTCATCATCACATAATCGGCAGCCACTAGGCCCTTAATACGCTAATATCCTCCACCAAATTGATGCCTATCCCGTAGCATCAATTTGTTACCAAGATCCCAGTGACGACTGGTAGAAAAGGCCTTCGTGAACAGGTCGGCAACTTGTTCTTCTGTCTGAATATGATGCAAGCTAATAGTTCCATCTCGAACAAGATCCCGAACATAATGCACATGTATCTCAATATGCTTGGTTCGGTCGTGGAGGACAGGATTAACAGCAATGCGAATAGCACTTGTGTTGTCGACGTGTAAAGCCAGAGGTGCAGGACAAGTAACGCCAAAATCAGATAGAAGTCGTCGTAACCACACCATTTCAGAGCTAACTTCAGACATAGCTCGATATTCTGCTTCAGTTGAGGATTTGGAGACTTTGTCCTGCTTCTTGCATCTCCAGGAAATATATGCCCCACCACACTGAACACACACCCAGAGGTGGAACGACGAGTATCTATGCATCCTGCAAAATCAGTGTCACATCCCGATATCTAAAATCCTTAAATAACAGTTTTGCTTCGGAGCATATTTAAAATTTTGAAAGAAAGAAATAATAATGTGCTCGAAATACAAATACTGAAAATACATCTTATAATTTAAAAGCAAAGCCCTAACATTTGGGCAAACCTCAATCCATAAAGTCTTATCCTTTTAAATCTCCATTCATTACTCATGATCATAAAGCGAATAACTAAAGATTACAAATGCTGCTTACTCCAATCCGCGGTCAGACATCTTCATAAGTGCTCACGTGGTCCTCCTCTGTTAGCCTGCTCTCTCACTGGATGCTCCTCGACTGGATGCTCCCTAGCTCCTCCTCTACGACCTGGTGAGTGGGTTGGGGTCAGTCTACGCCATTACTTAAACTTGAATCACTTACGGGTGTTCCCTTAAGTGTTCACCTCAAAACTTGTGGAAGTTGTTCATACTTCCACCCTTTAAATTTTAACCCTTAAAAACATGGCAGTTGTTGTTACTCGCCACCCTAAAAAATCTTAAACCTTTGACCGACACTGGGATCCCCTCACTAACTAGTCCAGCCGCCCAACTCATACGTATGAGGGCCAACATAGGCCTTTCCTTAAAGCTTTTTATGGGAGTAATCGATTCAACCCCATAAACCTTAAGAGTATATCATACTCTTCCTTTAAACTTCATGTGATGTCTAAGTGATTTATCCACATGTTCCTTAAGAGCAAACTTGCTCTTCCTTTAAACTTTCACTAGGGCGGGGGACTGGCGTTAGTGAACTACCTTTAAATCTTTTCACCCTAATCTAATTAGGAGTGAAATACCTCTTAAATGTTGATCCTTAAAGATCAAGCAACCTTCATTAAATAACATAAATATAAAAGCTTCAAGTAAATACTGACAGCTCAATAATCATATACTTCACAATCACAACTCAAATAGAGCATCTCAGATAATATCTCAAATAGAACATGTTTTATCAATCACGACATAAATCAATCACTGACATACAATTCACATAAACACACATACGTAAAACTCGTAAGTCAAATACTTGAAAATACGTAAGGTGTAGAATTTACCCCCTTAAACCACTCACCTTTCAAGTGTCGATACTTTAATTCCGTGGAGTCCCTTAACCCGATTGCTTCCTTAATCCTATTAACCAAAAATGTATTCCCTTAGCCGGTATTCCTCAACTTGTTCATTTAACGTACTAGGAAATTTCTCTCCTTAATTGCTTAGTCCCAAAATCCTTTTAAAAGGCCCTTACTCTCTTTAAAATAATTTCCTCAAAACATGATATTTTCCCAACATTTCCAATACTTAATTTATATCATTAAAATCAATAACCCTTTGAATAAACTTCTCAAAACCCTCATTAAATTTATTATAATATATTTTTCACTTAAAAACTCTAAATTATGACGTTGGGTAACTCAAATCATTAATCAAAATGGTTAACCATAAATCAAACTGTTGGGGGTATTATGAGCAAGGCCCAATGGGCGACAACTTGGGTTTCCAAACAGCCGAATTGGGGGGCAAGGTCCAAGCAAGGTGGGGGGCACATAAGGACAAGTCACTAGAAGCCAAGGGGGGCCAGGCTGTCAAGTGGTCCATCGTCTGCGGGCGCCTGTCACGTGCCAGAAGCCTGACAAGGCGGTTGGGATATCTGACCAGAAGGGGACAAAGCATTAAATGGAGACAGTGAGGTGGAGAAGATCAACCTCGAACTCTGGTGAGTATAAATAGGGGCAGTTGGTAGCATTTACACAGGTCGGACTCTCTCTCACTAAACTCTAGTTTTTGGGACACTTCTCTCTTCCTAGAAACTAACTTGGGCGTCAGAGGATTTACGGGCCCAGGCGCCCCCTCCTTGTTCGTGTGTGCAGGCAGGCGTCTTGCAAGAGAGGATCCGTGAGAGTCATACGAGGGTAGCGTGTCTCAAACACAAACGTTGAAAATCCCTTTTTCTATTAAAGTTTACCATAGAATAATTTTACGACCAAGATATGAACGCATGTAATTCTGACCCAATCCTAGTTTCAAGCAAAATTAACAAATCATCAAAACAACTTTGTACAGTATTTTAATTTATTAAATACAAATACAGATCCAAAAATTCTAAATTTTATACACGAGCATCCTATGAATTTCATCAAATTTATAAAATTATCATATTATGAAAATACTCACCGGAAAGAGTCAGAAATAAACATAATCATGAAAATAATACAATTTTTCGGGCCAAATTATCAAACTTAATATATTGTGACTAAGCTGCTCGCACTGAATACTCGAGGGACCTATCTGGTTATTTCCCAAACACAATTGCAGACATATCCTCATACTTTTCAAATTAGCTGAAATGGTACCTGAACTAATGGGTTTTCGTTCCAAACTTTCGATGCTCGTTTCTCCCTCGTCCGACGTCGAAATTCGATTTTGTCGAAACGGTGTTGATCCTGGGATCGTCCTCTTTGCAACAGTAACCAATTTTTGAAGTATTTTTGAAGTCAACAAAGTCAATGACGCCGGATTGGTCTTTGGAGGTCGCCGATACTATGGTGTAAAGCACGAGTTCCGAGTTAGCTTCCAACGATTCAAGCTCAAGAAATTTGTACGATGGAGATTCTAACCTTCTGGTATGTGTTTCAGATGAGAGACGGTGGAGAACTGATCGATGAGCAGAGTTACGTGTGGAGGCGGGAGGCGGTGTACACTCGACGCGAACCGAGGCGAGTTGCTGCTTTCGTTGGCCACCGGTGATTTGGGACGTCCCACGCCCTGCTTCTGATTGAGGTAAGTTGTTGATGTATCCTGGGAAGTGATGATGGTGGTGTTCGTCGGCTGGTGGTGGTGATGTGTTTGACGGTGGGGAGATGGGACGTTGGCGGGCGGAAGCAACGGGAAGGGAGGAAATTCGATGATGATGGAAGGGCGAGGTGGTGGTGCTGAGAACCAGTCGTGGCAGTGAGGAGATGAGAATGAGATGAAGTGAGTGACAGTTTGGTGTATTGTTGGAGGAGAACAGATTCGTTATTCATGGAAGGAAGAAACTAAGTTGATTTAAGCTAATTGTTGAAGGCCACCGACAATGCATTCGCCTAGCTGCCAACGGTCTTATTAATTTTTGTCAGCTTTGTCTTGCCATGGGTAGAGATATGGGGGGTTACACGTTAGCTCTGCTATTCTTGTTCCATAGTGGTGAAGAGTAGATCACAGAAGGTAAATTACATGATTTGGTCTCTTGTGGGCTTTACAGGAAACTAGGACGAGAGACATGGGATGGGGGGAAATAATTGGATCGTTGGGGTTTACTGGGCTGGGTTAATTGGGACAAAGAGGGGAGGATTATTGTTGGGGTGGGGACGTGGGGTGGGTTTGTTTTTTTTTTTTACTTAACTAATAATAATAATAGTTACTATTATTACTATTATTATTATTCATAATCCGCAGTTGCAACTATTCATACATAACCGTCTATTCAATCGTTCACTTACTATGATCGAAATCGAACCCAAATGCCAGGGTGTTACAATCAGAATCTGAGTATGCTGTAATCTTAGGAGATCCCGTAGAAGGGAACAAAATTCCCACATCCTGAGTACCGTTTAGATAGCGAAGTATCCTGTGAACTGCAGCAAGATGATCAACACAGGGAGCACTCATGTATTGACTAACCATCTGAACCGCATATGAGATATCCGGGCGAGTAGCAGAGAGATAGATCAGACTCCCCACTACACTGCGATATTGAGATCCATCTTTGAGTGGTTCACCAGATTCTTTCTGCATCTTTAAATTGATTTCCATAGGAGTTTTCACAGGTTTGCAGTTCTCAAAGTTATGATCACTTAATAAATCTGATATATATTTCCGCTGGCTGAGCAGAATACCTTGATCATTACGGCTGACTTCCAGGCCGAGAAAGTAAGAGAGATCGCCTAGATCCTTGATTTTGAAAGCTTTCTTCAAACCATCTTTAAGCATAGAGATTCCCTTTGCATCTGATCCTGTAATGACCATGTCATCAACATAAAGCAGAAGAACAACTATCCCAGCAGAAGATACCTTGGTGAAGAGAGATGGGTCATTGTAGGGGTGGGCAAACGGTTCGGTAAACCCAAACCGAAATCGAATTAAACCGAACCGAAACCGAATTAATGCTA